TCTTTTTTATTTAAATTTATTATTCCATAATTCAATGGAAATATAAATTATGCTTCAAACAATCTTTTGTGTGCTGCCGTGAGTCTACTATAATTACGTGCAATTCGACTGTAGGGTTCTTCATTCTGGGTCAAATAGAGAGGATTTGTTTTGTATTATCTATCTTCGTATGATTAAAACGTTTTTGATGAACTAAATAGAAATGAAACTGGACAAGTGATTACAATTTAAATGAACCCGTATAGATGAGACAACAGCTGATAATTGTCTAAAACTTAATATGGAAGATTTTGTTAAATTTATTGTAGAGTAATACATACCGTTTTGTCTTACGAGGGAACGTTCCCAAGTGTCCAATCGCTTTTTAATCGAAATCTAGTGGGTTATAGGTTATCGATCATGCTGATTCCGAATATGAATATGGGAGTTTCCCTTCGCCCTTCGAAGATCCGAGCTTCTGGAAAACCAGTTTTTCAAAAACTGTAAAAAATGACAACAAGCTTTCTTAATCAGGCATGATTCTAGCGCGCAAATTTATGATCAAAATGAGACATCTCCCAGCTCTACATGACCTTTCTTTGCAAAATTATAGAATTTATAAGAAAAGTCCCAAATTGTCCGTTGTCAGCTCAAAACTGCAGAAATACGGAAAAAATTAATTTAGTGCCTTTCTTGTAAATTGTATAACCTTGCAGAGAAAGGTCATGTAGAGCTGGGAGATGTCTCATTTTAATCATAAATTTGCGCGCTACAATCCTGTCTTATTATAAAAGGTTTTTCTCATTTTTTGGAGTTTCTGAAAAACTAGTTTTCCAGAAGACCGGATCTTCGAAGGGCTAAGGGGAACTCCCATATTCGTATTCGGAATCAGCATGATCGATAACCTATAACCCACTAGATTTCGATTAAAAAGCGATTGGACACTTGGGAACGTTCCCTCGTTAGCCGACATCTTGAAGATTTTATTCATCTTCGTTGTGAATGTTTTACATGTGCTTTTCGAAAGCGAATAAGAAAAAACGGAATAAGTAAAAATGAATATACGACGTCAGATCATGCGTACAGCAGATGTATCAATATACGAATAAAGCCTGAAAAAAATAGCAAGTTTATTTCATCATGCCAAAGCACTTAGAAACTTATAGAAATTCGGAAGTTTTCTGGAGATCCGCTGGGGATCTTCTGGAGAATCCGAACGCTTAAAACACGTAGTTTCTTGTCTGAACAAGTCTATTTGGTACATAGACTTAAGAAACCGCAGTTCAGTGTGGTAAAAGTGCATTTTGTAGTATGAAATATGTCGACATACACTAGCACATATGCCACACATGTTTCTGCACATACCCATCGGATGCGCAATGATCGATTACTTATAAGCTTTTGACTTTAGGTAACAAATATGGAAGTAACTCCACAATTTTCGATAATGAATCTTCTTTTTTTTGTTTTGCGTTTTTCTCGAAAACTATTTTTTTGTTACCAGGCTTCATTGTGCCACATTACGGCCCCCCTTAAATTTCATCCGATCGAGTTTACTTCGGAAAGTGTGAAAAACAGATCAGGATCGGGTACAAGTCGTGTACTTTGAACTAGTGCAAAAAAATGGAATTGAGTCTTCTCTAATTAATGTAATTTGAGTTCGCGAAGTTAGTACAATACGAAATAAGTTTAGGGTGAGCACTCTCTTCCTTAAATATGTAGAAGATGAACGTCTGATGTAAACATAAAATTTGTTCTTTTCTTATTTTATTCTTTAACCCTTTGAGTCCCATAGTAGCAAAAAAGCTACACATGTTTTATAATTATTTTTCACAACTTAATTTATAAAAATTAGTACGTAATCTCTTGGAATGAAGCAATGGAGCATTAGTTAATAAATAGCAAATGCAATGTGGCACTGTCTGTAAAATAAACTAGGAGAAAACGATTTTATTAAATCAAATATATTTAATTTATCTAAGAATCATATAAGTCTTCATTTCCATTGTTTTCTTAAGGGTTCGAACTATCATTTACATCCCATTATATTTGCTGAAGTGTCGGCTTCAAAAGTATAACTCGCTTTTTTTTTCAAATTTTGTTTCGTTGCTGAGAAAATTCGTTTTTTCTAAATCAGCAGCGAAAAAGTCGGAATTCTGTCCAGAGTTTTCAATTTTCTTGATCAGAACTCAACTTCTGTATAATAAAAATATCATATTTAGAATCAGGATCAAAAACTCAGTCGACTGATCTGTATTTCGAAACTTTTAGCTGATTTCAGCTTTGGGTGAAAATCTTGATAATTTTTCAACGTGAAAATTCGCAAAAAACTAAAGTACTCGAATAGGATAGCGATACACATCAGTCGATTCATTTTTTCATCCTGATTCCGAATATGACATTTTTATTGCATAAAAGTTGAGTTCTGGTGGAGAAAATTGAGAATTACGAATTACATATAAACTAGCAAAAAAAATGTGGGACTCAAAGGGTTAAACAGAAAAACAGAAATGGCTGTCAGAAATGGACGTCCCTGAAGTAGAAGAAGAAAGTTAAAATGGAAAACGCAAATGATATCAAAACAGATTGCAATTATACTGCGCACAAGTTGTAATGTCGACAGACTACATCTCTACTGTCAGTCATAGCAAGAGATTTCGTAATAGCTGAGCATGAATAAGGACTTGCAGTATTTTAATTCTGCCTATCCTCACACACAGGGCCTAAATCGAACAGAAGAACTAAAATAGAGTGAAAGGAATATAAAACTGAAAAATGTAAGGTGAATGGCGTCGCGATACTGTTATCTATTAAAAATATGAATGTAATTAAGTTATAAATAACCTCTTTTGCTTAAAGCGTCAAGGCGGCAGCAATAAGACGCTTAGATACTCAAATTCTTAGACGTTTAAATGCCTATATGCTGAACAATGCGTAAACAGTGCTTAAATACGGCCTAATACAATTGAACAACACTATAATTTAATGCTGTAACACGAACTAATACTCGAATATATTATCTGTGTAAATTCAGAAAACAGTGTGGCGTAGGATGGGTTCGTACGCGATGTTTTTGGGCGTAGAGTGGTTGGATTGATGGGTGGATGGTATGTGGTAGTTGGACTGGCAGTGAGAGTAAGATGATATGTGATGATTGATAATCAGCTTCAAGGAAAATTCTTGTGTCAGTTTTACCCTAAAAACAACCATAAAAATTAATTGTGAACCGGGGAAACATTATTTAAACAGATTCAAGAAGTACCTTTTCACAGTATCAGTCAGTGACAAGAGTAACGCGTAGAAGGTTTTGACGCTGTAGGGATAGGAATCTCAATACTAGAGTAAACCTCTTAGTAATAAATCTTCTAAAGATACGTATGTAAAGTTAGCACCAGGTAGGATGATCAAGATAATTTCAAGATTTGGTCCAAAGCTAAACTGTACATTGTTGAATAGAACTCACCTAAGCGCATACATTCTAATGTTTCTGTTGAGATGAAGCTTATCACAGGACACTTTTGTATGCGCCTAGATGAGTTCTATCCAACAACGTGCATTTTGAACTAAGTCGTGGAATGAATCTGTGAAATATTTACTGAAAAACCGTAATTTTTCGTATAAAAATAAAACGGTTTTCTAAGTTTTTCTCATAAACCATTGTTTGTTTAGAGAAAGGAAATACAGGGTGTTGTAGAACTGGTCGAGCTCTATTTGGACCATCACCTCGCCAGTTGAGGCCAAGTTTAGAAAGGAATCTGGTGCTAATTTTCCCTACGTTCTAAAGATGGAACTGGCTTTTTTCCTTTCTTCATGATTAGGAGAGAAGGATGAGCAAATATCATAAAGAGAAAATTAATGTTTCTTCTTTGTTCTGCTTATGATTATTCTAAATAGGTTCAATAATCAATGAGTTTATGTATCTTCAGCATTCATTCTCACTTCAAATAACAGATCTTCTTTTTTATCTTCACTGTAATTGTCTTTTTAGTACTTTAATGACATTTTCTGCTGTATAAAAATATTTCTCGAAAAAACAAACAAAAATGGCGTAACACAAAAATATATAAAAGTTATCCAAAACACATTTTTCTTCCACTTGTCTCTGTATGTAAGGCTTGCAAGTGTTTTCATGGATGGTGAAGGAAAAACACTGTTTGGCTATGGATAAGGATGGGTGTGGATAGAAAATCTTTTTTGCCCATGAATGAAAAAGGACTCACTTCTTTAAATTGAGCAGTGTTTGCAATTGACAAGAGGAATAAATAACTTTACTAAAATAATACAATTACTTACCATCACTGCTGTAAGACATCGATTCAGAATTCGAATCACGGTGCAATACATCTTGATCCGCATCTTTTTCGTCTTCTTTTTCACTGTCATCGCCGCTGGCAGACGAAATTGAAGTCGCGTTATCATTTCTTGCAGTTTCTTGAACCCGATTGTCTTTCAGGTGTCGCATTACAATTGGTGCTTTCTTATGCTTAGTATTTGTAGGAGAAGAATAAGAGGATTTTGTTATGGTTGTTGCTGTTGAAGTAAGTCTACGATCTAAAGCAGAAATACATTAGAGGCATTTTCCAAGGAGATATCCTATTACGCTGTTTGATTTACTTGGTTTTGTGGCTACTATTGACAACGAGTCAGTACTTGATGACGTTTCTTGTTCTTCTTTTTCGTACTCTAACGGTGGTGGTTCTATATGTTCAAATTTTCCGTTTTCGTGAACTGTTGTTTCCGAGTCAAATGATGTTGAGTAATCTTCTCCTATTATCTTTGTTGGTGAAGGTGTTCTTGTGTTGTCAGGCGTACAACGTGCCCTATGATCTGCTAAAAGTGAAAGTGGGAACTTAGCTAAAAAGCAAATATGATCCACCAAAAGTCTCATACTTTCTTCTTCCGCGTTTGGATTGGACTCGATAAACGTTGTTTCATTTCTTGATACGTTCCTCTCTTGTACCTTAAACATCAACTTTGTCTTTAGCACATCCGTCAGATTAGTTTTTATACCTCTTGATTGTTATTATCGCCACCTTTCTTCTGTTTTTGAACAACGACTGTTTGTAGCTTTGTATCATCTAAACAGTGTAGGGTTATTCACTAAACCGAGTTGAAAGGTATTGTGGAAAGACATATTTCCTACCAAGACTCAGTGTACGTAAAATACCATACAACGGACTTTTTGTGTGTTGTTTCTCAATTAAATCCTAGAAGTAAATCTTTAGAAATAACTTAAGTGAATACATCAGTGTTTTTTCTATGTAGCATACTTTGTTTGTGACCATTTTCGGTTCAGTTTTCCGTTTTTTGGTTTTCTTCTTTTTCGATTTTTCTGCAGCAGTAGTAGTGGTAGTGGCTGGATGGGGTAACCTTTGACGGCATCTGTAATAGTGCTAATACGTTGTGCAGGGCACACAAAACAAATCCCCTTCACTCATCTTACTTTGAACATGGTCTCAATCCTTGTACACTTTTAATTCGAAATTGTCCACATTTTCCACCTAATCTCACACCTCGTCGATGTTTATATTCGCAACATGTTGACAGACGGCTGTCAATGAGTCCTTTGACATAGAACGAGAGTGCAAATGGATAACTGGAATGACGTTTTGAAACGAATTTAAATTCGTCTGAAAGAGACGTGGTAGCTGTAAAATAGCAAACAAATGAATGACAGTAGAAAAAACACTTACCACCAGGCTTTAAGAATCCTTTGTATACAATTAAATTTTCACCACCACAGTGTTGTTGCATTACGAGAACTTCGTCTTGAATAGGTGGTTGAAATAAAGTTCGATCAAATTCAATTTGTGTATGTGGACCAGAGTAGACTAGTGTTACTTCACATTTCTCGTGGTTTTTTGAGGAAAATGAAGGTCTCTATAAATATCAAATTAACCCTTTAAGTTCCCGAGGCTTTAATGCTTGTTCTGGGGTCAACCACGTACGAAAACGAACCATATGAGAACTCGATATGACTTTCTCACACTCGTTAGAAACCCAGGACCAAACATATCTAAGTTTAGATCATTAAGTTTGAAGAAGTTGAGACAGAAAATGAGCTGAGATGGTGTAGAGAATCAAAAATGACTAAGAAAACGAGTCCAAAATCTCAGCAAAATATGACCTTACGTTTTGTACCACCAGCATCCTACAGTTTAAGACAGGATTCGCCAGCCCATCGAGAAAGCACGTGACATGCAAAAAATCTGACATATGAGTTTTATTTGGTTTTCAGGTTCCACAATCAAAACTGGGGTGACGAAAAAATTTTTTACTTCCAGACTTTATTTTGACCAAGTTACAGAGTTTTCAAAATAAGGTGCATCAAAGAATCGCAAAAATGAGCACTGTCTCATAATTTCGATATCATCATTTTTATCCATTCTGGTCGCGCAATGTCTCATTCGAAAGACCATCAAAAACTAAACAAAATCAGGTGCCTTCTCTTTTTCTAAACTCAGTACTGGTGTAAGACGTTCATCACGTGAAGGATTATGGTTTACACATACAATTCTTTTCTACCAAAACCCACTTTTGGGCATACAAATAGAACTTCCCTAGAAATATGAAGGTGATATCAGATAGGAAATTCAATTTTCTACAAACTGAGCTAAAAAGCTTTGTTTTAAAGCCCCTGGAACAGAGCGAAAAGTTGAAAACAAGACGACCGACTGAGATCGTCTTTCAGTTTTTGATGATCTTTCGAATGAGACATTGCGCGACCAGAATGGATAAAAATGACAGAGTTATATCGAAATTATGAGACAGTGCTCATTTTTGCGATTCTTTGATGCAACTCATTTTGAAAACTCTGTAGCTCGGCCAAAATAAACTTTGGAAGTAAAAAATTTTTCTTGACATCCCAGTTTTGGTTGTGAAATCTGAAAATCAAATAAAACTCATTTGTCAAATTTTTGCATATTACACGTGTTTCGCAAAACACTCGCTTTCCTCGCGAATCGTCTCTTAAACAATTTCTTAATCCGACACAATTTGAAAGAGCATACCTCCCAACATATTTTGGAAAAGTTGTTCAATAAAAGGCTTTTCCTAAAGTACCTAAAAACTTAAATGTTTTCCAAAATATTCTTCATTTTTAAATTTAAATATCACAACTAGCATATAAAACATAAACAAGATATTCTTTTACTATTCGATAGCCAATTTAATTCTCTACAACCGATAAAGGATTAGTTTTTTTTTAAACAATACTTCATCAGTTTGTTATAATGATAATGCCGATGTCCTCGATGGACATCGGGCTTTAAGGGTAAATTAAGATCGAAGTGGCGAGAAGATTGTGCAACTAGCGATGATACATTACCATTGCAGTAACGATAGTGTGTCACGTCTATGTGCCCCTTCATTTTTTTCACCTGTGGAGGCAAACTATTGATCCTCGTTCGTTGTAATAATCGACGTCTGCGCGGGCTCTCTGACTGTTGTTTTCTTTCAGAAATAACATTATTAGCTGATTTAATGCGCGATATTCCTGAAACTTCTTCGTCTTTCTAAACAAATAACGAAACAACTGGCAAACCTATGCCACTCTAATATCTCAAAGAAAATTCACTTTATTTGCTGCTGTTTTGGGTCTGGAAGGACGTGTCGGCTTCATACTATGCGATCTCGATGGACGATTTCTCCATTCTTTTTGCTAAAAGGCAGTTTTACAGATCGAACTCTATTACACTCGCAAATCGGATAAGACTCACTCTGCTAGCTAATTTCGATAATATTTCAAACTGCCTTTCAAGCAATGCTTGTCTCGTACGTTCCATATTTATCACACTAAAGAAGGAATTAACAGAAGATATAATAAAAAACGAGACCCCTAAACTGCTACATACGTCCGTATGATATTCTGTTGTCTTCTATTGTTTGCCTGTCTACGTCGTTCTTGTCGTTGTTGCTTATAGTCTGAATCTGATACGATAATTTCACCTTCTTGTGTTATCTGTAAGACAATGAAATGAGGCGATTATGAATTATTAAGTGCATGTTTGCAAATGTTGGTCATTTAGACTCAGGTAAAAATGTGGAATTCCTTAGTAACACGTCCTGTAGAGCGCTTGTAATATCTGTATATACAATAAGTGCAGTCTATAAAAAACGCAAACGTTACATGTTCAATGATTTTCATTTTGAATTTTTAACCCGGTAGCTACGTCTCATTTTTTCGGTCAAACCTGTAAACAGGTTTGTAACAAACACCTTAGACCAAAAAAGTTTAATCAAAATTTAAACTTTTCTTTCTAAAACAGAGCGGCTTTTCTCAAAAATCGCTTCGACTTACTACTTTGGCATTTGGTAAATGTTTTGTTGTTCGATGAAGATTGTTGAAGTAACATTGATCGGTTAAACTTCTATATCTGATAATCGGGATGCAATGCGATAATTATGACAAAAGTATCAGCGAAATTACAACTACATTGCCTTACTTTGATGGTAGTTGGCTCATATTACATGGAGCGTTATTTTCGAAGCTCTAAGATGTTATCTTACTAAAAAGCTACTTTTGAAGTAGTCACGTTCTTTTTGCATTTACGTATAAACACAACAACTTGCTTTTTTCGATAAAATAAAATGCTTTTTTTCCTGTTGTTATTTCTTGTTTCCGTTTAAAATGAATGCGTTGTACACCAGAAATGTTTAATTTAATCCTTTTTAAAAAAGAATTTAAATAGTAATTTGATATAAAAATATTGCAAGAAAGAAAACGATCGGGTTTCTATAAGACTTTCGGAAGCTCTGACCTGGTTTTTCAAAGATCTCCTGAAAAACCAGGCTG